TTTTTATGATAGCTGTTTTGAAATCTCTGTCATTTAGGTTATGGATTTCTGTGTCTTCAGGGTTGGTTTCTGGGTGCTTGTCATTTTCCTTCTGGTCTAGTGATTTCATGTATCTTTGCATTGTGGTTCCTGTATTGGCTTTCGTTTTCCTCATCCTGGAAATCTCTGGTTGCAATTTCCACCCACCACGACTGTGTGGGGGTAAGAGCCCTTTTGTTTTTAAAGTGAAATCTTATAGAAAATATCCCCAAAACGCAAACAGATAAAAGTGGAGTTGGTAGTGCGGCAGAGATCCAGTGGCCAAGTCAGCACTTCCCCCCTCATGCCTCCAGGGCACTTTGGAGATTGTAAAGGGTTTGAAAAACCACTGCTCTGACACAACTGATGAAGCGATTCCAGTTTTCTCAAAGGTCCCCCAAAAATAGCTTTCATAAAGAAATTAGGGTCACAAAAGCTTCATTTCAGTCTAATCACCCCTCAGTTTCCTCCAGAAACTTGTGTCTTATGCACCGAGTTCTATTAAAAACTTTGACAGAAAGGCTGAAAAATAGTCATTGGCAGCCAACAACTATGAGATCTCAATCAACAATACAATTTCTTCTCTGGGGCTGCTTTATTATGCTTTTACACAGAAGTTATCCTAACATTTTCTTCTTGTTCATAACTCATCTCTACTACTTTTCCACTACAATAAAATTTTTAAAAACAATATGTTGTTTCTCCAGATTATAAGTTCAATACTGGGACCTACCTACTACCTATTCACACTGTGTCAAGAGAATACAATTTTCTTAGCTGGGAACTAAACGTACTCATTTTTAAGGGGGAAAGGTGTACTGGAGGGGGGAAAGGTGTACTAGGGGAAAGGAAAAGAAAGAAGGACTGTGAGGCTTCTCTAACATAATCTGAATACCATGGATCTTACGGAAATGTTATTTTGATTGGACTCCATAGACTTGATTCCTCATCATGTTTGTCACTGCTGATTCCCCATCAGTTAACAGGGGGGACAGTGTCCCTCAACCTGACAGTGTGACCAGCTGTCCCAGTATGCCCCAGACTTGCCTGGATTTGGCACTGAAAGTACTGGTTTAGCAAACTGGGATGGCTGGTTACCTCACTCCTACATATCACACAAATACTGTCCAATGTGAGGCAAGGGGAAGGTAAGATAATTCAGAACATTTCATACTGTTTATCTGAGAGAAATCCAAAGAACTTTTAGTATTGTTACAGTTTTCTTTATTTTATGCCTCTATTAAGCGATCCCTGGTTATGAGAAATGGTTCAGATGCAACAAACATAACTGAAAAAGGCATGCTTTACTTAAATTCTTAGGAAATCTATATAAATGTTTCTGATCATGAATCTTTTGAAAAATAAAAAAGTTACAATTATAATATTGGAAGTAAACTGAGTATTAGCCCCACAGATACATTAGAGGGTACAAACAATTCAACCTTTATATATAGAAACTGAGTCATGTTTTACATTATGATTCTAAATATATTTACATATGTTCATTTTTCCAAATGTTTACGTTTTAATATCTTACCTATAACAGAGACTTTAAGGAGCTCAATTTTATCCTTAAGGCCAGCAGTTTTCAGATTGTCACACGCACCAAGTAACTGTGAGTTGCTGACATCAGCACCGACATAATACACATCCTTGAGGAAAGAAATTCATATTTTAAATAAAAGTAATCAGATATTTTGTGTAGTTAAGAAAATCTATTTGCATTTTCTCCAATGATGAAAATGAAATTAATAGATTTATTAATTCAGGTTAAAACAAATTTAGAGTATTTCTTTAAAATGATATTCAATAGCTAAAAATTAAAAATGTCAAAATTTTAAAATCCGTTAATAATGTTTTACAATTACAAATGTCTAAGAAACTAAGGGATTTGTATGATCTATGTCATCATTAATTATTAGAATTCTGTCATATTTTCCTAAACTTATCCCAGTATTTAAAGAAATAACATAGCAATTTAACCCTTCATAATCTATTTTGACTATAGTAAATAGCAACTTACATAATAAAAATAATAATCCCCAGGGGCCAGCCTGGTGGCACAAGTGGTTAAGTGCGCACGCTCTGCTTTGGTGGCCTGGGTTTCAGAGGTTCGGATCCCGGGCGCGCACCAATGCACTGCTTATCAAGCCACGCTGTGGCGGCGTCCCACATAAAGTAGAGGAAGATGGGCACAGATGTTAGCTCAGGGCCAATCTTCCTCAGCAAAAAATAAAGAGGAGGATTGGCATCAGATGTTAGCTCAGGGCTGATCTTCCTCACTAAAAAAAAAAAAAAAAAAAAAAAAAATCCCCAAATAGACAAACTACATGTAAATAATTGGTAAGTGGATATATACACACACACATACATACTGATTAAAGTAAATGTGCTATTTGGTTTACCAAACTTTAGAACTTACTGGCCATTCTTTAGCAGCTTCCAAAAGTATTGTTCCAAGTCCACACATTGGATCTAAAACAAATGCACCAGCCTATAGATAGAAATATTTATTTCATATTATTAAGTCTATTACAATAGGTATCATAAAAGAAACCTAAAACTTGAGGAATCAATATTTCAAGAGTAAAGATTCCTTTTTACACTTTATTGGGAGTTTCAGGCAGTTAAAGCCCTAAGGCAGGTGTATGTTTGGCATGTGTAAAGATCAGGAAGGAGACCAGTGTGGCCAAAGCACAGTGAGCCAGAGGGAAAATGTGGGGATTACGTCAGAGAGGTAGCCAAGCGATTCCATCAAGACGGGCTGCGTAATGCTGCATGTACTAACAATTCCCAAATCTTATAGATTTAAAACAACATATAGCTCATGCTACATGTCCACAGTAGGGCAGCCGGGGCTTCTGCCCCTCACTCTGATGAAGTGGTCACCATCTGGAGCACTGCCATCATTGCGGCAGAGGGAAAGAAAGCATGACAAATTATGCACTGGTGCCTAAACGTGCCATCTGGAAGAGACACACATCACTTCCACCAATATTAAGTGGCTAAAGCCTGTCAGTCACATGACACACACAATTTCAAGGGGCCAGGAAAGTAGAATCCTACATGTACCTGGGAGAACAAAAAATTTGGAGAAAAAACTATTACTCCTATTCTGGGGGTCACATCATGTCAGATCTGGTAGGTACCGTAAGGATTCTGGTTCTATTCTGAAGGACTGGAAACTACTGGAGCGTTTTGAGCAGAGGAGTAATATGACATTACATTTCAAAGATCATTCTGGCTGCTCTGTCGAGAATGGGCCACAGAAGGGTAAGGATGTTAACGGGGGGCTAGGCAGGGAATCCAGGCAGGGAATCCAGGCAGAGATGATGGTGCTTGAATAGAGAGTACAAGTGGTGCAGGCGGTGAGAAGTGGTTGGATTCTGGATATACTTTAAAGGTGGAGCCAACAGGATAGATTGGGTGTGGAATGTTAAAGAATGACAATAGTCTGAAATGACTAAAGTTTTTGACCTGAGCAAATGGAAGAACAGAGCTGCCTGTTACTGAGATGGGAAGTGCTGGGGAGGAGAGGCTTCAAAGGAGACAAGAGTATAGTTCTGGACACGTAATTTTGAGACACCTCTCAGACCAAGTATGGATGTCAAATGAGTCATTCGACATATGGGGCTGGAGTTCAGGGGAGAGGTCAGGCTAGAGATATAAACTTAGGAATAGTGAGTGTTAGTCAGTTTATAAATGGTATTTAAGGCATCAGAACTGGATGAGCCATCTAGGAAGTGAGAGAAGTTAAAAAAGAAAAGTCTACAGGTTGGACGCTGGTAATCTAAGTATAGTTGTTTGGTAGATGAAGATTCAGCAATGCACACTGACAGCAGCACATACTGATGCAGGAGAACCTAGAGTGGTATTCCTGAAACAAAGTAGACAAAACCATGTCAAGATGGAGAGTGATGACAGTGTCAAAGTGCTAATAGGTTAAGTAAGATGAGCACTTTCAGTGGAGCGTTGGTGATGAAAGCCTGACAGAAGTGGCACAGGAGAAAATGAGAAGAGTAGAGACACCAAATATGGACAACTAGTTTTAAGAGTTTTTAAGAGTTTTGTATAGGGAAGTAGAGAAAGGGGGTGGTAGCTGAAGGAGCATGTGGGTTCAGAAGAGGGCTATTTTTCTTTAAGTTGCAAGATATTACAGCAAGTGTACACGCCAATGGGAATGACCCAGCAGAGAGAAAAGTCCTTAAGTAGGCAACAGGGAATGGAATCCAGTACAGAAGTAATGGAGTGAAATAAGGACATTTATTGTAATGACAATAAAGCAAATTATGTGGGCACAGATTCCAATATGTTGTTAGATATGGTAAGGAGAGGGTGTTGAAGTTCTCTTCTGATTCCAATACTTAAGTCAAACAAGAAGTGAGAGAGTTAAAAGTGTGGGCAAGGAAATGACTATAATGATAGACCATAAAATCGAAGCCGTGAAGGAGGGATGAGGACAGGTGGTGAGTAAGGGGCGGGGGAGGGTCAAATGACTGGAGGTCCCACGGCGTTCAAGAATTGTTAGTGTGCAAGAGGAAGTGAACAGCAAAGAGAAGAGGTTAAGAGCAGGATTCTTGAAATTGAGATTTTTGGAAGGTATACCCTTCTGGGTATGATAAGGTCTAGGATGTGACTAAGGCAGACCATTAGAGGTAGGGAAGCCAAGACTCTAAGGGATCAGGTTACAGACTGGATACCGAGATCATGAAGAATTAGGACAGGAATAATGGCCTGTGCTCTTACAGGAATGATGGGGAGAGATGTATATTTGACTGGGATAATCTGATAGCATGTGCTTCCAAGGCACTGAGAGGTTTTGGGCAGAAGGAGCAATGAGGAGCCAGCAGGACACCTACCCCACCTCCAGGCCCAGTGGTCCCTTGACATGTCTACCGAGGAAGCAGAGTGCTCAGTGGACAGGCAGGTTTCAGTCAGAGCCAGAGGGTACCTAATGGAAAGAAACAAAACGTCCTTCAGGAGAGAGAGAGACTTTCCCTTGGCACTAAATTCTAAGGAGAGTAGCATATGAATCCCCCACGAAGGGGCCATAAGTAACAAAGAGAATAATGATTTAAATGGCCATTTTGTTTAAAATTAATAGTGGTATAAGAACTAATTTTTATTAATATGTTAAAATGTGCCAAACACTGTGCTCTTCCTCCCCATGGTCCATGTTCAGTGAGGTAATCTGACCTTAAATATCTTTAAATGTCTTTATTTTACCATAGGACCTTTTCTAGCCATGGCATTTGTGTACACAGGCACAAGTAGAGCAGTATTTCTGAGTGCTTATAACAACAACTAAGATTTATAGAACTTGATTTTCCTTACTTGTTATAATATGTAGGAAGGAGAACAGTTTACAGCAAACATGAAAAATATCTACATCCCCAGGCTTAAATTTCATTTTTAGTGGCACTGGCCTACCCAAGGTTGAGCTGTCACGGCTACCCTGGGTACCAACCTCAAAAGAGGGGGCTGGATCAAGGCTGGATACTGGGATCACTTACATCGTGGGTCATCACCACTTTCCTCCAAAAGAACTCTGCTGTGCTACTAGTCACATGCTTTAACAGACCTCCTTGCTGGTAGTTCCATTTAGAGAAACATTTCTTACTCTGGGTCTCAGCAGGGCAAACTGATAGTAAGGAAAAATTTTATCAAGCATTATTTTTGGACATTGTTGATAATTCACTTTCTACTCTTCTGAAAAATGTATGTTTATATCAAGATAAAGGTAACATTCCAAATTTGTAGGTGGTTATATAAATTTATATTTAAATATAAACTGCAGTGAAATCACTGGCAGTTTGGAAAAAAATAAACTGTACCATACCTCTCTCTCTTTATCCCGAAAGAAATTTAGACTAAAGATTTAAATCAAATAAAAAAGCAAATCATGGATTCTGGGAACATGGTAATCTGAAAGTAGCTCTCTCCTCTTCTCTCAATTGCAAGCTATTTATTTACTTCTCCTGAGCCAAGGGATGCTCAGACCTAGAGGCAACTGGCGCTGAGAGAAGCCCCAGGCTCTGTGGGGTCCCAAAAGAAGGAACTGGTGTGGGGCCTCCTTGCCAGGGGCTGGGTGGGTGATTAGAGAGCAGAACTGGAGGCCAGGGGGGAGAATCATTGGGACCAGGGAAGAACTGTCTTCAGAGAGCCATGGACCTGCAGGGAGACCAGTGAACAGAAAGGTTTTCACTGAGTGCCCCAGCAAGGCTGACAGATTCTCCTACACTGCCAGAGATCATTTGCCTTTTACCATTTATAGGATTCTGGCATTTAAAATACTTTAATAAACACACTTGAGCCCCAGTGAGCTGACAAAGAAAAATAATGGCACATCTAAGGGGAGGGGGTCTTTCAGTAGCTAGAGAATAAATGGGCAGGACAATCTGAACACACATCCAGTGAAAGAGAGATCCTGGAGAAGACAGATAAATATTTGAATAAAAGAAGTTAAGAGCTTCTAGAGATATTCAAATATAGTGCACACACAACACTTTCCAAAGCTAAAACACCATGATTATTAGGTTAAAAATTTTAATAACTTAGTTAAAGTAGAGCATCTCTCTATGACTCTTGTTATAGCTTGGAAGATAATGCTCAGGAATAACTCAAAATGCAGAGCCAAAATATAAAGAGATGGAAACCACGTGGGAAAGGAGAAGCGACCGGGAGGAGAGCTCCCAGAGCTGAACATGTTTACAACAGGAATTTTAGAAGCAGAAGAAAGAAAGCAGTTTAAGGTTAAAGTCACGAAAGCAAAACTGTTGAGGCAATAATAATTAAATTAATAATGAAAGAATGAGTGCCTGAGCTAGAAAAAAAATAATAATAATTTTTGTAATTATATATTCCAAATAATAATTATTATACCTATAATTATTACTATAGCAGCAGTTAATACTTCCACTCTTTGTATATGCCAGGCACTGTTCTAATCACTTGTAAATGCTAATTCATATAACCCTCACATGACCCTATGAGATATTATTATTTTCATTTGAAAATGAGAAACTCAGGCCCAGAGATGTTAAGTATCTTGCCCAAAGTTTCCCAGTCAGTAAGTGGTGGAGCCAGAATTAGAACCCAGGCAGTCAGACTCACCAAGTTCTGGGCTGAACAGAAAAGACATAAGAATATCCTGGTAATATTCTTGAACTTCAGAGAATTAAAGAGAGAAGTCTCACAAGCTTCCAAGCAGAAAGAATAAGGTATCTATGAAAGAAGGGAAAACCACACGGGCATGGACTGCTCTCCTATAACACCTAGAACTAAAAGGCAATGGAATAGCATCTATAGATTTCTGAGAGAAAAGGAGTGCAATTCAAGAATCTCATACCCAGCCAAGATGGGTATACCCAGGATGAAAGGAAGACATCTGAGGATATGTAGGAATCAGATAGTATATTATTCAAATACTACCACATTTGAGGAAAATATGTAAATAAAAAACTTTAACCAAGCAACAAACGAACCAGAGCAGAGAACTCAAACAGGGAAAGATAAAAGTGAAGAAAAATGGCGAACAGTGATATGCCATTTGTGATATCTTTGTGTGTTTACACAGAAATGTGTGTTTGTTATACACAATTATATCTCAATGATTAAGGACAGACTGTGTAATGTAAGTGCTAAATAAAAACTTTTGAAGCGGAAAGGACATATTTTAAGGGACATTCTGATACATAATAAATAATTTAGTTCAATCTAGTAGTTGGGGGATGAGAACGGAAGGGAGTAAGAAAGGTCTCATTGTGGGGAGGAGTAAAGGTGGGGTAGGAGAAGAGAAAAAAGCACTCTACGGGTTTCATCTTACGATAGGGAAGAAGGGGAAGATTAGAGTGTCCAGGTGGTAAAAACAGTATCTTGACAGAGGAAAGACTTGATATCTTGTTTTCAAGTAATAGTAGAGTTCTATGTGTTTAATTAAGAGCTGGGAAAGAGAACCACTAATGGAATAGAAGAATAAAGTAAAATCTCCAACCTCAGAAAGAACAATGAAATGATTATCAAGTTACTTGATCAAACTGGCAAAAAAAGAGTCGACTGCAAGACGTTATAAACAGAGTAAAATAGGAAAAATACAATCAGGTGTGTCTGTCACAATACTGAACTCTCTCATCAAAAGACAGTGACCATCACAGTGGGATAAATACAGCTGTGTGTTTGTTAAAAAACACATTGAAAACAAAGTTGAAAATAAGGTAGGATCAAAGAAATATTAGGCAAATACAAAGAAAAAGAAAAGAGTGAAAATATTAATAAGACAGTGAAATTTAAGTTTCAACTCACTAATCAAGATAAAGTGAACTTTATATAACAAAAAAAAAGGCACAATTCTGGGACCGGCCCAGTGGCGTAGTGGTTAAGTTCGCACACTCTGCTTTGGCAGCATGGAGTTCGCACATTCGGATCCCAGGCGCGGACCTATGTATTGCTCACCAAGCCATGCTGTGACAGATGTCCCACATATAAAATAGAGGAAGATGGGCAAAGATGTCAGCTCAGGGCCACTTCTCGTCAGCAAAAAGAGGAAGATTGGCAACAGATGTTAGCTCAGGGCTAATCTTTCTCACCAAAAAAAAAAAAAGAAAAAAGGCACAATTCACGAAGAAGCAATAGCAGTTATAAATGTGTACATATCAAACTACACAGCAACTGAATAAGACAACAACAAAAATGCAAAAAACTTCAAAAAATACAACAGTTAGATTTCAAATACCTCTTTCAGAATTGAGTAGACAGTAAAAGAGTAAGCAAAGATATAGAGGACATTTCTTGACTACAAAATAAAATTATTTTCTCATGTCCATGGAAAATTTACAAAAATTGATCAAGATCTTGGTCACAGAAAAAAAAACCTCCAATTTTAAGAAGTAGAGGTTTTACAGGCCACAAGATTGGGACACAAAAAATCAGAAATAATAGAATGTAGCCATCTTTTGACTCAGCTTTTTCATAGCCAAAATACTCTTAGAAGTTCAACAATATATAAAAACGTATCACTGCAGCAGTTTGTAAGTGTAATGGCAACAATAACAACAAAGATAAAAAAAAGAAAACAATGAAAGTAAAAAAGAAAAGAAAAGAAAGAAAGCAACCAAGATGTCCGTCAATAAGAGACTGCGTGAGTTAACTGTGGAAAGGACCTTGCTATTATATTAACAAAAGTGAAGACATTTTCCTTACCTTAATTTCAGCGAGAGAGGCCATTGCCCAAGCTATGGTAGATCTCAGGCCCGCTGTCCTGATGTAAGCTCTGCTGGCTAAAGGAACCCTACAAAGAAAAGAAGCCGATGATATACCCAATATTACTATATGTTAAAGAAGAACCTGATATAAATTAAAATGATTAAGCTATCCATATCTGCGAATCATTTTAATATGTTCACACAACAGACACTAAAGTGCTCCCTAAGTTAAAGAGTATTTAACCTTATTACAAAAATACCTTCTCTAATTGGCACCCTGTTTAAACAGCCAGTGTGATATTTCAGGAAGGTAAACTTTTTCAGTAACTGAAATTTAACTCTTATGTCTTTAACTTATAAAAATTTAATCACATAAGAGAAATCTTTCTCAAGTGTTTACATGGAATTCCCATAACGGAATTGACCTTTTCTCGCTGATCTGGAGTCATGAAGAAGAGCATACTGTTTTGGGATATAGGTGTAGTATGGGAAGTAGGGCTGAATGGATGCTAACTCTTGAAATATGTTTTCTATAAAAAGTCCCTTTTGTAAGTTTGCTTTTTGCTCATTTGCATCTTTTTCAAAAGAGGAAATGAAGCATGACATTGCATTGTCTAAAATAATTTATTGAATGAAGGGCTGAAGCAGACATCTCCCACATGAGTTCACTGGTTTCCATTACATATCACTTCATGCTTGATCCTCCATCTCATCACTGCTACTATCAGTTTCCAGATTTGACAGAAATTTTCAAAATATTATTTCTATGTTTCTAATGCAATGAACAAGCACTTCCTTGGAAATTTCAATGCACTTTTCTATTTCATTTACATAACTTGGTAAGATATGAAGATATGATTTCAAGAATTAGTGCTTGGTTGGTTTGGGGGTTGGCTTGTTCCAAAACCACTAAAAGGGCTTGTCTACGAACATTACACAAAGCTACAGTGTTCTCCAAACCCTATTTCTTTCATCATTTTGTTTCTGATCTTTCTTGGACCTTAAGTTATCCTGTTGCATGTATTATTGTAAGCCTCTTAAAATGTTATCATTAAATGAGGTATCTCTTTCAAATAAAACAGTATAATTGTATATTTATTGTTATAATGAGGAAGCTCTGCATGGTAAACTCATGCACTCATGCAAATTCTTTTTTCAAAGGTTTTTCAGGAAATAACAATTCACATTGCAAATAGTACTGTATCCATAGATTTGAAATCTGGGATATAACCTTTGCAGGTGGAAAGACTAAAATATTTTGATGACTGAATCTTGAGTTTACAGGCTAGGCTTAGCAACTGTCTTGCTACAAAACATATTAGATAAAACCGGAATTGAGAGATCATTTTTCACTCTAGATACCAAAAGAAAGAGACTTGGTATGGAAAACTGTCTTCGTCCATATCTAGTCACAAAGTGTTTTTTCTAAGTACCAGGGATTTATGTAGAATCTTTGAAAGTTTTGACAATTATGTGTATATTTTTAGTAATAAAGGTTTTATTTTATGGGAGCCAACCCTATTAAGATGTGACAAAAGTGAATGTGTTCTTATTTTGCATAGACCTGGACAAACTGATCTGCTATTACTTCGACAAAAGGGCCTCCTTATAGTAATATAATAAAATTATTCAGGGGAAGAAAGTATTCAGAAATAAACTCCTAGAAAATAAAAATAATTCTCTCCTTTCATAGAATCTAGCTAATATGTTTGATTAGATTTTAGACGGCTTTTACATAATACAAAAATAAATGTGGTTTTTGATCCTCCATATATATGCATTTCCTTTATTCTCTTACACACCATCTATTACCAAGATGAAGGCACTCTCATCTACATCTCTAGCCTAGACTTGTCACCTGAACCCCAAATCTTTCTCTTCAAATGTGTATTTGGACACCTTTTACCTGGAGGTTATCTACACACTGCAAATTCAACAGGTATAAACTGTCTACACTCTCCTCTCCCTGCATTTCATATCTCAATACATTTCTTCATTTTCTTGGGCCACTTACCCTCTATATATTGGTTATCCTAATCTACATCTCCAGCCTAGACTTTTCACCTGAATTCCAGAGCGGTAACTTTAAATACCTACTTGGACATTTTTCACTGAAGATACTACTTTTTTCCCCTACATTTTATATCTCAGTGACTGACACCAGTATCCACCAGTTGCCCAAAGCAGATATCTGGAAGTTATTCTAGACTCCTCGACTTCTTGCATTCATGGCCTGCTTTTTATTACCCCCAATTTACCTTAGTTCAGCCTTTTGTCATTCATTGCCTGGACTACTATAAATGAGTTTAAACCTTCTTTTTCTTTTAATTTCCCTTTCATTTTAAAATACAATTTCCTGGGTAATTTTTCAAAATCACAAATCTGATCATATCACTCTTCTGCTTCAAATTCTTTCTGCTTTTAGAATAAGATCCAATCTACAGCTTACATGGCTTGTTTCTAATCGTTCTGTCTCATCTTCTACCACTCTCCCTACGTATTACCTATCCCATCTATACTGAAACTACTTGCCATCCAGCACATAAATCAAGCTTCCTCACACCTCCAAGCCTTTGTATATGCAATTCCTTGCTTGTAAGATCCTTTCCTTCTCTTGTCCACTTGAGAAACCCTTACTTATTCTTCTCCATTTAAGTGACACATTAAGTGATTCTCGTCTATGTTCTTTTGCTCACCTGTCCTCCATCAGAGTTAGGTCCTCCTTTCTAACTCTAGCCAAGCATTTATCGTCTATCTGTTCTACCACTAGACTGAATTCCTTGATCCTTAGATGTTTCTACTGAAGTTAACTGAATGAATTAATCTTACTCTAGTAAACGCTTCTCCTCTTCCCTCCCCAGTTGCTCATCTGTTTAAAAAAGAAAACAGTTAACATTTATTCAATACTTACTGCGTCCTAGAAATAGTTATCTCATTTCCACATAGGTTATCTCATTTAATCCCAACCACAAACCTCTGAAGTAGGCACTACTATTGTCCTGATTTTACAGCAGAGGAATGCGATAATTTGTCCAAACTTGCAGAGTTACTCTGTGGAGAAGGCAGAATTGAAGTCCACAGTTCTTACCCACTATGCTATGCTGTCCTAGGTGATGTATCAGTGTGCACAGCTGTACACAGGTAATGTCCTAAAGAGCTACTGATATCCAAATGGTTCTTTACTGCAAAGAAAGCAGAGCTCTATTATGAAGAATGTCTTCAGGAACTACTAAGATATAAATTTTTATGTGCACCTCAAACTTCATAGCTGCTGTATCCTCTGTTTCATCACTTCTGACTTTCTTCTGCTGTCAGGGTCACCAGGTTGCAGTTTCTGATCGCCACTGTCACTTCCTGTCCACTGCTGTCTGCTGTTCAATTCTTCATACATCCTCCTTTCCTCACACACCAGGGAATTGTTCTTTTTAGCCAACACACATCATTGAGACTGATTCCATCCCTTGCTGAGACTGTCAAACTGACTAGTGACAGAGCATCTAATGATGCTCTTCTTATCTTATTTTCAGCCACTGCTCATTCAGGGTCTGAGTCTTAATTTTTACATACATACCTTTTATTTGTAAACTTTTAGGTACATATTACCAGTTATTATTTGAGATGTCATAAATATGACTCCTTGAGTATGTCTAGCAAGCATTCAAATAATTTTAAATAAAATTTAACACCTCTGAAAAATATTTATATAAGAATGTATACATATATACTTAATAATAAAAGAGCATGAAATTTAGCATTTTTATATGTAATTAAAAATTAAACACTGGTTCCTTTATTTGATGCTAAGAATCTAAATACATTTGTGCTGCATTCAGTCAACACTGCTGAGGATGCAATGTTCCTCCTAAGTCAATATTCTAGACACTTAAACTCACCCTTTTCTAGGCCAAAGTGTTAAAAAATGTTTAACTACTTTAAGAATTCTTCTAAAAATATATTTCATATTTTACTGTTTTACTAGTCTTTCTTACCCTTATCTTGGTGACCATCAATAATCATACTGGGTTGAAATGTGACCACCTTTCAGTTTCCCCCACCTTTTCTGTCAACTATTATAGAATTTTAAAAATCCAAATAGGCAAAATTGTTCAAATGAAAGTCAATCAGTTTTTACAAATATTTTATAGGACTTAGGGCCTGGGGCTTCAAAAGGCACTGGAGTAGGTGCACCTACTGGAGTAGGTGTAGGTGTAAGACAGTGGGTTAGGTTTGGTCTGGGAGAACCTGGAAGGGATTGGGGTAGGTGGGAGCCAAAGGAAACCAACAGGGTATTGAGGCATGTAATTACCTCATGGGTGTGAAAGTGACAAGAAATATTATTTATTTAGCTCATGATTTTTGTAATCTAGAGGCTGGTGGAGCCTGCCATATGACGAGCACATAGCAAGAACTCAGTCATTCACATTTCTTGAACATCTACAACGTTCTCAGCACTGTGGTAATCAACTGCTATACCTCCCCATTTGATAAAAGCTATTATAATAACTTTAAATGTTCTTTTTTACATCCTGAGTCAGGCTTACACATGCATAAATGTGAGCTTAGGGGAGATGGGGTATACCCACAGGACTTTTATGGTTTTAAAAACATTCCATGCCTGGAGTCACCTAGAAAAAGGGTATCTAAATCACTTTATACTATGTAAACAGGGTTATGCATATAAAATGTTTTGAAGCTGCCAACAATATTTATATGCTCCCAAGCAACTGAAAATCTCTATTTTCATCAACCAGCTTCTTCCTTCCACTGCATCTAGAAAAGTACCTGCTGTACAATACGTGTTCAATAAGTATTTTTGAATAAGGAGATGAATCATTTGCATTTGTTATTATTATAGCACCCAGCATAACTAGGGAGATACCTGAAGAAAATTTTAAAAACTGGAAATACTCTCCCACAATAACAGAATAATGGCAATAAAATTTGGAGAATGTTCAAGGTAAATTTTAAAGAACTGTGCTGTATTTTCTATTTTAATTAAAACTCCAAGATGCCAATAGACTAAAAATTTCAGCTTAAATATGGGCCTGTGAAAATCATTTAATAATAGAAATAATTAGGTATAATTTTCAGTATGAATTACATAATCAGTGGATTATTGTGATCAAATCATACCTACTAAGCTCCATGAAAACTCTTTGTTGGCTCAAACAAAGACTTTGCCTTTAGCCTCCTCTGTTATATCAATGTTTCATATTATAACTAAAAAGCATACAGTTCTTAATTTTACAAACTCTCCTAAGGGAGAAACCTGAAACTTAGAATACAATATCTACCTGAACACTGGAATTCCCACCACAGAGTAAATGTCATTTAGATGTATAAAGATCTGAAAAAAAAAATACAGAAGTTAGAATGGAAGAGGAAATGCATTACCAAATTATTGACAATTTGAAAACTTCCATTTTGAACCTATATAACTTACATTTTATTAAGAAATTTTTATTTGTCATATTTGGAAAAATGTTCCATAATATTTTTTTCATGAGCAGAGGCAAAAAGTGAATTTTAAGTACATTTCATAGAAAAATTCTGAGGTCAATTTGGAATACAAGTTATATGGAGAATCATGTTATGAAGAACTCAAGATCAACCATCTTCCTGGAGAGTCTCTGAATTATCCTAACTGGATCAGATTTTCAGCATTCTGGGTTAGGGAAGGTGGATTCCTAAATCCACCCTAATTCTAACCTCCAGTAAGACTTGAGGCCACACATGGCTATCACAGGCCAAATATACTTTCAGGGTAACCGAAAACTTTCCTCAGGCCAAATATATGGCAGCAAAGGTGACCTTTTCTCTCTTTACTATCAGTAGGAGAGCTTCTTCCTCTCTATTACCTGTCTTCTCTTAGGCCATAAAGAGGACTTCAATGTCTCAAGTTATAATTAGTAGCCCACATAAATTTTAAAAGTTAGAAACTTACTTTTGTAGTCTGAAAAGGTTTATGGAGTATTCTAACTCTGTTGTTTGAATTCAGGGACATTTGATTCCTGATATTTTCACCCTAAGGTTATTTTTAATGTATGCAGTTTAATCAGAATTATTCCAATATTGATAAATTTCCATCAAGAAAACAATGATCTTGAATGTACTCCATTTAGTCAATTTAATTCCTTGATCACTACAGCTTAAATTTTCCAATTTTTTTATATTATTCATTTTAGCTAAATTATTTATTGGAATTAATTCTCTTCTATTTGAAATTTATAAGACATGATATACTGATGTTTTTATATATCAAATGCTAATAGCTTCTCCCTTTATAAAATTTTTTCTATTAATTTTGCAGAACAAAAATGTTAAGATTTGATTCTTCTGTCAATTTTGGTCACAAATTTTACTATATGCGATTTTAGTGCTGTCAATTTTATTTTGTGTTGACTTCTTCCACCAATAATAGCTATTATTAATTTCATTAAATGGCTGATAGGAATTAAATTAGCTATATTTATTTATGAGCTAAACTATGAGAAAACTATAATTCTGACACAGTGAGATGGAGTCACGGGGAGATAGAGAGGAGGAGACCAGGAGAGTAGAAGATACGAGAACTGGACAGCGGGAGAGGAAAGGAAGACAGGCCCACATCAAAACAGTTTTCAGGTCAAAATATTTTTCATGACAGCAATAAAGGAAATAGACCAGGCATTACTTTTTAAAAGTGAAAAATAGCATATAAAAAAATTAAAAAATAAAACAACACAAAATGTTCTGATTTGGTCAGCTATTACTCCATTTAAAGCTATATAACAATAAATTTATGAATTAATGAATCATGAAAATGACTACCTGTGAAATATATGACATGGTTTTCAAAAAATAGTGGAGAACATTTTTTATAGCTAGCATTTGTTTCCCCATGTTAAGCGTTTTACTTTGGTCTAATTAAAACTAGTGTAACATCATTAAATTAATTTTGAAAACACAGAAAAAGGAAAACATAACCCCACAACCCTAACAAAGTCATATTAACACACTATTGAATTTTGCGCAGGCCTTTTTGTTTTCTGTTCTTTTTTTAAAAAAACATTAGCTAGAATTTCTGATTACAGACACTTTGTTATGTATTATAGTGATTGTAGAGAGCATCTCTGCAACCTTATAATCAAAGCTTTTAGTTCAACTGTGACTAAACAATTCCATTCCAAAATGTCCTATTTGAGTAAGACATTTTCATAGTGACAACTACTAGCGAATTATCTGCACTATTCTACTGCTAAAGAGAAAACAGACTGGATCCACGCAGACATGCTTTTTAAAACTCTAAAGCAAAACTGAAAAGTACAGTAAGACTAGCTGACATTGTCTTTAAAGAATTACATTATTAACATATGAAATAAAATGAATCGTCAGTACCTCCAAATCTGGATTCCTCAAATCTGCTTTCCATCCAAACTGTTTCATAAGGGCAATTCCAATTACTCTTCCTACCTCCTAGAAAAGCAGCAAGTTATGGAAAAGATAAGAATACTAAAAATAAAAATTCTAAGTTTAAATGTAAGCAAAAACTAACAGAGCCTGTATGAAAATCGAGTCAGACTATCTGATAATAACTTAGGGTTACAATGTTAAAGTATTACACAAAGCATTTTCTATTCCGGCAATAAGGTTGTCTTTTACCTCGTCCACCTCCCAACACATCCTACAGCATTAATGTCTACTCACGTGTGATCTCTATTCTTGTAATTTTAGATACACGAAAGAACCAGATCATGACCTGATAAATATGGTCATTCTGGGTTTTAGGAAATAGATGCAAGCTGAAAGATTAACTATTTTAGCTACTGTAATCCTATATGTTTAAAAATTACCAGATGAGTAGCATTAGACTCAAACTTTAGGGTCTGTCTGATTTTAAGGTTGGCCAAGGCACCCAGACCTATGCCCTTTATATCACTAAAATTTGCAAAGGTAAACCGATAGGTATTTTGAAGTTTGTGGTGTTCACTCTCCCCTAGTCAGTTGAGGCCTTGAGTGCGTTTGTGTCTTTGTAGTCTGAGTCCTGGTGACACTCATCCATGCAGGTCCCGGTGCAGAGTAATCACTCAATAAACACAGAACTGAACGAGGAGAAAACCAAAAAGCTTAGGACCATGATATTAGGATTTCCAGATGTGAAGGATATCTATGAATTTAAAGAAACTTTTAGGGAGAAAGTAAAAGGAGGTCGTTACATGGAACGGCACACTATTCCTCTTAAGCATCTGAGGGAAAGTTAAGAAGGCAAATGCATTTTCAGAGAGATTTAATTATATGAGGTTAGGCCTAGTTATCTGCCTGGGCCTACTTATCTATTCTGTGAAAGGTGTTCATCTCAACTCAAATCTCAAGAGTACAGAAGTCTTGTAGACAACAGGAGCCCGCTTTGGAGGTAAGCGTACCTGTGCAGGGAAGGCCTTTGCAATAGCTCCACCGCAGCGGCAAGAAACCCTGAAAGTCACGTCGCTCTGGCTGCGAGCAGCTGCCACTTTTGCTACACCTCTCTCAAATTCTTCTTGAAATTGTTCTTGCTCAGTGATCAAGTCTCCTTGCTCCAGTATTTCTTCTTCTATTTGTTTTTCCAGCTGGCGTTCTCTATTCTCTTGTATCTCTTCCATTTGTTCTGTTTTTAATTTCTTAGCAAGGATGATGTCATTTTCTTCCACGTTTCTTTTTAGTGGGTTAGCATCTCTTCGAGAAAGTTTTTCCTTTTTTGCATCAACATCAAGCAGATTTTTCCAAATTGAAATGGCATTCAACCAGCTTTCAGGATCATCATTTATAAGTCTTTGCATTTCATTATATATTTTTCCTAGAAAAATAAAACCTCAGTTTATCCTATATTGAAGTTTTTAAGACAGTCTGTTACACTCATCACCCCCAAATGCCATTACCTTTATTTCTTTAAAAGAAGTTTTATTAAATCACTACGTGAATAGTGACTTCACTTTCATCTGGAATTTATATAATTTACCATAAGAATATTGTGCAGAATAAAGTTCATTCTTATATTCCATACTTAACATGAAAACTAAAACCCCACAGGGCTGGCCCGGTGGCGTAGTGGTTAAGTTTGTGCGTTTCGCTTCGGCGGCCAGGGGTTTGCAGGTTCGGATCCCAGGCATAGACCTATGCACCGCTTATCAAGCTGTGCTGTGGCGGCATCCCACGTATAACGTAGGGGAAGATGGGCATGGATGTTAGCCAAGGGCCAATCTTCCTCAGCAAAAGGAGGAAGACAGGCAACAGATGTTAGCTCGGGGCTAATCTTCCTCACACACACAAGAAAAAAAACTATAACCCCATAGAATTATCATATACTTTAGCAAGATCATTTGTCCTATGATAATGTATTTATCTCTTCAATATATGCATAGACCTACAGTGTGTATCAACCCTTGAAATAATGCTGATCTTGCCTATAAAAATTAAGTTTAAAAAAATAGAGTAAATGGCAAAACACAAAGCTCAGAAACAGAGCAACTGAGTCTTGGGATCATTTGAGACCATACAATATTAGCATACATAATAAAATGAGTTTCCATAAAGTAACACTTCCAATACACAACCCATTCATAACTTACAGACTGCCAGCATGCTCAATAAAATGTAATTTTTTCTTGATGAACAAGGGTCATCAAGATGACCCAAGAGTAATTCCTGTAGTTCTCTAAGATGAGAGTGTATGGAATACTGGGATGAAATTACATTGACCCCACAGTGTAATACCTTAGGATTTGCTTTTAAAACAATTTTCTGTCCTGTCTTGGTTTCTTGCCATTTGTATCTTTCTTGACACAGTTTATTTATTTATTTATTTATTTTGTGAGGAAGATCAGCCCTGAGCTAACATCCATGCTAATCCTCCTCTTTTTGCTGAGGAAGACCGGCTCTGAGCTAACATCTATTGCCAATCCTCCTCCTTTTTTTTTCCCCCAAAGCCCCAGTAGATAGTTGTATGTCATAGCTGCACATCCTTCTAGTTGCTCTATGTGGCACGCGGCCTCAGCATGGCCGGAGAAGCAGTGCGTCGGTGTGCGCCTGGCATCCGAACCCGGGCCGCTAGTAGCAGAGTGCGTGCACTTAACCGCTAAGCCACGGGGTCGGCCTTGACACAGTTTGTTTGTTTGTTTGTATTTATTTATTTATTTATTTATTTGGATTTTCCATATCCTTTAATGAACTGCAAATATATTAACAGAAAAGACTCCCCCCACCAGACTGTACAATTTCTGAAATAAGTCAGGAAAAGCAAAAAGAAGACAAAAATTACATTGTTTCAATGCAAATAGAACACACACATCACACCCACACTTGCATTTTCCCAGGTTTTCACAAAGAAAATGGGTCACCATATTTCTCAAGTTTATTAAAGACTATATGAACACATGATCTCTTGTGTGCAATCAGCAATCACGATGAAGTTTAAGGCAATGTTTAATCCAGCTGGGTCTGACCCTTTTTTGTTGCTTTTATCAAGCTCCTTAAACTATTTTAGCAGCATATTTATAAAATTAGGGAGTGGACAGGATATCTCTTAAGGCCTCTTTAACTACGATGCTTTATAAATGAGTGTAAGTTTATTCAAAATATTTAAGGTCTCCAAAATGGGAAATTTTACTATGTAGTATTTTTCCAATTATATCACTCATCAGTTAAAATTTACAAGGTGAGGATTTTAACCAATTTATTAAAACAATGCAATGGGCTATTATATGCTCCTAAATCTAAATAAATGCAACTGACCATACATATCTCTAGAGAAGGTGTCTGATCATAATTCTCAAGGAAGAAATGTGACTTAGGACACTGAAATCTCAGAAGACAGGCAGCAGATTGCAAAGAGAAGAGACAATTAGATGATAATATTCAGGAAATACAGAAAAGTACATAATTAATGATCCCATAGGTATGAATGAATCTTAAAAATGTGAAATGGCTACATGTCAATTATCAAGCAGAAAACTTCAGAGTACAATATATCATGTGGGTAAAAGCAATAGGTATACACCGTACCTTTACTTACAGAAGAAACAGTAAATGGAAATTGCTTTTTAATCAGCAAAAATAATCTTTCTGCAGATTTTAATTTTTTCAGCATATTCAAGTTAGAACAGGTAGTGAAAAATACTTTTCCTGAAATATATTCAACCTAGAGACAGAAAAAATAGATATTAATGTAGTCCAGTGTCAGAGAAAGAATTATTTCCCTTCCCCCCCTCTAATGAATTAAAACATAGCATCTAGATTAATAATAATAAAAATGACCATTTTCGAAGTATCTACAACTTGACGACACTGTATTAGGCATTCTGAATACATTTTTCCACCTTATCCTTATAACAACCCTCTAAGGTGGATTTTATCATCCTCCTTTTACAGACTAGGAAACTGAGGCCTAGGTAGGTTAAATAATTTGTATCTAGGCACATAGTCAGTGACCAAGATCATAATCTATGTTATGCTACCTTCTGTAAAGTGTGTGTGCATGCATGTGTGTGCACACACACTACTATAAAAATAGAACACAAAATACTCAGTAATTATATTACCAAATTTCACAAACTATTTAAAAGTGGGCAAAGGAAAGGTATAATAGATAGGACAAATTAGGTGTCTCGCCCAAGGTTAATACCATCAGCAGGTATTGGTTAAACACCTATCTTGTGGTCTACCAGGAAGCATACAGCATATATCCTAAAGATGAATAATAATGTAATAGACATACATTGACATATGAATTAAAATGTAAAATTTCTAAGACAATAACTTGAATTGAACCCAGAAGGAAACTTAATAATTACTATAATAAATGCACTGACAATCTGTAGGTGCAATAAGCAGCACTGAATATGGAAGCTATCATTAGAAAAGTCTTGGGGAAGAATCCTGTAAGATTTGGGGAGAGGGATTCCAACAACAGAACAAAGAGCAAGATGCAGAGGTGGGAGTGACCACCCGGCTGAAGTAAGGTATAAGTCAGCATGGCAACCTGCTGTGTTAGGCTGACGGAGTGTCAGATGGACGAATGGTGTAGTTCAGGCCAGCCTGATAAATCGTCATGAGATTTGGAGTACCACAGATGGTAATGGTCAACCACTATAGACTTTTGATGAAAACTGTGACAGCACTGAATTAGCTGGCAGAAAAAACTACTTGGGAAGAGGTATAAAGGATCGAGCGTAGAATGTGATGCTGGAGGGGGAACTAGGTTACTGAGGTGGAAATAATGAGACACTTGGCTGTGGGAATTGGAAAACAGACAGAAGCAAGAAATATGCATCAAACAGAAAGAGGCTTTGGGGACAGGATGGATATGTGGTAAAAGTTGGGGAAGAACGGAAAATTAAGAGCACTGACTCAGAGAGAGTCTAATGAGGGATGGCAAATGGTGCTCAATACCAATGGAATCCTAAACCGTTTTGGTCAACCCAACCCCCTTAAGTTCAGGATGGATGTGGATTGTCCTAGAATTCTCCTTTCAGCAGTGCCCATGGGCTGCCTAACATGGTTCTGAGTCATCTCCTAGAACTGAGGCAACAGGGAATTTGGGGTATCTCATGTGTTTAGGCAGCTCAATGGGAACTTGAACTCCGGGTATTTTTCTGTTTTTTTAAATCTGATATGGTCTAATTAAGCTTTGGGGATGGTTATTTCTGGGGTTATCACTCTAGCTGGATGAAGAAGAATCTCTGACGAGGAAGTCTTCGGTTGACATCAATTAAAACCCCAATACTTCCAGTTATAAGATTAACAAGTTCTGGGGATCTAATGTACAGCATGGTAATTACAGCTAATGATACTGTATTATATACTTGAAAGTTGCTAAGAGAGTAGATCTTAAAGTATTCTCAGCACAAAAAAGTAATGGTAATTATGTGATGGGATGGAGGTGTTAGCTACTGCTATGGTAATCATTCTGCAATCTGTAAGTGTTTCAAATCAACATGTTGTACACCTTAAACTTACATAATATGTTATATGTCAATTATATCGCAATAAAGCTGGAAAAATAAATAAAAATAAAACGGAAATAGCTTAGGCACCAGCAATGCAGCTGACCAAGATAGACAGAGGAAGTAGGGAATGAGAAGAATGTTTAGGAATCAATATTTAAGGGGACAAGGAAGTAACTAAAATAAGAACTTCTGGTTTCTAGAGTTTCTTTCTTTCTTGTTACAAAGGTGACATTTTCCCACTAAAGTCAAAACTAAATATATACCTCAAAATGCTTAAAACTTAAAAACAAAGTTTCAAAAAGTAAATTTTTAAAAATTTAGACTTTATGTTACTTGAAATAAAAATATAGCTGATATTAAAGACATCACAAAACAAGTTAACAGACATGAAATACCTTGCCAAGATTCTGGGGGAACTGAAATAAATATTTTACTGAAACTGTATGGTTTTAAGATTCAAGTCCTATAAATAAACTGACGCAAACATCTAGACCAGTGATTTTAATCTAAGTAGTCAATGATCTAGACATTAATTTATAGTTATTTAATTGTACAAAGATCTTTTCTTTCCTTACTTATTTGAATACCAAGGGAAACATTTTATCCAATGAACTTCCTCTAAAAATATCATCTATTTTTAAGAGGACCTAAAAGGTTTAATTTATTTGGGGTATCAAATTATAAGAATAATATGTGTTGAGGCATTAAAATGCTAAATACATTCTCAAAACCAAAAGCAACCTTATTTTCTTTATTTAAAAATTAACATAAGGCCTACATTCCTTTTATGAGTAATAAGCATGTAATCAGAAGTAGTTTACTAAATTGTATGACAGTCACTGTGAAAATCAGATAATCATATCTATGAATGCACTTTAACAGTTTATTCCTTGTGAAGGTATTATATCTTAAAGCAGTAGGGAAAATGAATTCTGATGCTTATAATCTCAAAAATCGCTGAAGCTAGTCTTACCCTTTCTCTTTAGCTTATTGCTTATAACTGATCATATTCAATGACAATACTTAGGGAGAAAGGTGGCATTTTAGGATATTTCATCCTAACATTTATTACTTGAAAATTTATTTTATTTTATTTTATTTTTTTTTTTTAAGGCTTATTTCATTTCTTTTTATTTTTTTTTATTTTTTTTATTTTATTTTTTTTTTTTAATTTTTTGTTTATTGCAGTAACATTGGTTTATAACATTGTAAAAATTTCAGGTGTACATCATTGTACTTCTATTTCTGCATGGACTACATCATGTTCACCACCAAAATACTAATTACAACCCATCACCACACACATGTACCGAATTATCCCTTTCACCCTCCTCCCTCCCCCCTTCCCCTCTGGTAACCACCAATCCAATCTCTGTCCCTATGTGTTTGTTTATTGTTGTTATTATCTACTACTTAATGAAGGAAATCATACGGTATTTGACCTTCTCCCTCTGACTTATTTCACTTTGCATTATACCCTCAATGTCCATCCATGTTGTCACAAATGGCTGGATTTCGTCATTTCTTATGGCTGAGTAGTATTCCATTGTGTATATATACCACAGCTTCTTTATCCATTCGTCCCTTGATGGGCACTTAGGTTGCTTCCAAGTCTTGGCTATCGTGAATAAGGCTGCAATGAACACAGGGGTGCATGTACCTTTGCAAATTGGTGTTTTCAAGTTCTTTGGATAAATACCCAACAGTGAAAATTTATTTACATATACAATCTAGATTTTTTTTTCCATTTGGAACTAAATCATAACTAAATGTCTAAAACCAGCTGTTTTTATGTCTAATACTTCTGAAGATGAAATAACTGCCTTTATTAAAGTAAAAACAGCTCTGTTACCGGCTGGCATATCTGAACAGTTAGCATTTTTGCCTTTCTTTTAAAATTCAGGGATTCAAGTCTAACACAAAGATTAAAAGTGTAAGTCTAGGCAAAAACGTATAGTAATATAGGGAGATATCAAAGTTCTCCTAATTCTACAGATGTCATTTCATTTCAGAATTAATTTTAAAGTGCTAAGTGAAGAGCTGAGGTGGTGTGTGAGTTTTTTTGGTTCACTTTAGAAGAGAGAATTAAAAAATATATTTTACTTAATTTTTAAAAAGGCATTCACTCTACAAGGAATGAAGAGAATCTTCAAAAAAATCAGCCTTATTCAACCACCCTAGTAAATGAAATAACTATGAAATACCTTGACTATCTGCTTAGCCCTACCCTACTAGCCTCTATCATCATGACCCAATAAAAAAGTAAAAATTGGTTGGCTTATTCACGACTTGGGTTAATAGTCTTTGCTTTGCGAGTTTATAAAGACTGATTAATCAATTGACAGGGCCTTTCTGGCTAGCTGGCATTAGGGCCACTTCTACTATATCAAATTTTATCTTAAAAAGAACTGTTCCTATTGTTATAATAAAGCTCAATATTTAATATGTTAAAACATTGTTACGAAAGCAAAGCTTAATTTTTCCCAATATATTTATTTAAAGTGGTCTAAGTAAAAAATATATAATGTATATATATAAAATATATCACATATCTAAAAAATATTTATATAATAAAATTAAATATTTTACAATACCAGGAACCTATAAAGAAGTTTGCCCCACCACCAGGAGGGAAAAAATCAAACCTGAATCTGACCAAGCTCTAGATACAACTTAAGAGATTCCAACTTACAGGGAATACAGAGGATAGAGGAACAAGTTAAACCACACCGTGGAGAAGCAATTGGCAACATCTAGACCAGGGGAAAAGCCAGCAGTGCCGCCCAACAACTTTCTGTGATGACGAAAATGTTCCATAAGCTGTGCTCTCCAATACACTCACCACCAGCACAAGTGGCTTCTGAGAACTTGAAATGTGACCAACGTGCCTGAGAAAGTGAATTTTTTACTTTACTTAATTTTAATTAAAATAGCCACTGTGGCTGATGATCCGATTGGACAGTACAGCTCTAGACTAGGGGTCAGAAAACTAGGCTTGGTGAACTAAGGATGGTTTTTACATTTTAAAGGGATGTAAAAACAATAACACAAAGAACATGTAACCAACACAGCAAAGTGATCCACATACGTGATCCACAAAGTCGTAAATATTTATTATCTGGCCTTTTACAGAAAAAGTTAGCCGACCCTTGCTCTAGACCATAGGACAAACAACCAGCTTCTTTAATAAATTGCGAGGGGAAAAAAGAGAGATGGAAGGAAACTCTATAGATTGAAAGAGATTTAAAAAAAATAAAACAGACTTAAAAGAATATCAGCCAATCACAAATGTGTGGACCTTATTTGAATCCTGATTCAAATACACAAACTTAAAAACAAAAGTGACATTTACGAGAAAAGTTGAAATTTGAACACTGACTAGATATTTGATGATAAGGAATTATTAATTTTTAGACATGATAACAATATTGTGGTTTATATTTTTAAAAAGATCCATTACATGTATTTTTTCTTTTGTATTATACTATATATGCTATAAAAGAGTCCTTCTATTATAGATATAGAAGCAAATATTTACAGATCAAGTGACATCTGAGATTTGCTTCAAAATAATATGGGATGGGTAGTGGGAGGGGTGTGAATAGAGCAGAATTCACCATGAGTTGATTGTTGTTGCAGCTGGCTAATGAGTAGTGAGATTCATCATACTAATTTTGTCTACTTTTGTATATGTTTGAAATTCTCCATGATAAAAAGCTAAACAGAAGATAGGATATTTTCTATTGCAAGCTGTGTGTTGGAGGAATCACCTACATCAGTCACCTGGGAGGGGAGAAAGGTTGCAAGTTAAAATGCAAACACCTGAGCTTATCCTCAGCCCTACGGAAAGAAAAACTTCTGGGGGTGGCAACCAGGGATATGCATTTTCAACAAGCTCCCTAGGTGATTCTTATGTTCACTAAAATTGGAAAAACACTGATTAGAGCAGAGTGATTACTCCGTAAAAGTAAACAGTCACTTCTGAATTAATTAGTTTTGTAAATTCAGATTTTACAATATTAATTTTCTTGAAGTGAACCAAAGTTTCTAATAAACTCTCGTCATTGCAAGAATCATTTTAAGTATTCCTGTGAAACTCATTCTTTGGGGACATTTATTGAGCACCTACTATTTGCCAGATACCGTGATATACGTGCTATCCATCTTTATCTCAAGGACTGCACTAATCCTTTAAAGTAGGTATTATTATCTCTTTTATATCCAAGGAAAGTGAGGCTCAGAAATTTGAGTAATTTGCCCAAATTTAAAACTCTGTTAACGGGAGATGTAAGAATCGAACACGTCTTTTGACTCTAAAGCCGACATACACTCTATACCATGCTGTTACAGAAATAACCTGCATCCAATGCTCCAGGGCAGTTTCCCGTGGGGATTTAGTAGTGGTAAAGCACATGGGCTTCGAAGCAAGAAAGATTCAGATACCAGTCCCAGCTCCACCACTTAGCAACAGTTTTCTCTTTATTTCTTTGTAAAATGGAGGTAAAAATGACGATTATCACATAGGATTCTTTTGAGGATTAAATCACATCACGTGCATAAAGTGTCTGACACATTTTAATTGCTTAATAAATGTTAGATGCTATCATCATTATTTCAGGATCACCTTAGCTTTGAGAGATTATATAAGTGAAACTGGGGTGGAATTTCAGGGGTTATTTGTTCATATCCCATTTCTGGGCATATCTATCCTTAAAACACACACAATCAAAATATGGAAATTCCCAAATCTCTCGGCATTTAATTCTCCTCATTGGCAAGAAGTTTTTCCCTTTCATTAACTGAATTTTTTTGCTGTGATTAAAATCCATCCCCCCACCCTCCACCTCATTTCATCTTTAGAGAAGATGGAGAACAAGCAGAGAGGGTCTTTCTTCTAATGATCCGACATTCTCCGATTGGGTCAAGCCTTCTATTTTCCATACCAAGAACTGTAAGTTAACACCAAAAAAAAAAAAAAAAAAATCAGTGCAGCAGGATGTCACGGCCACACAGTGGTCAAGGAACTGGACACAGGTGCCAGCCTGCCAGGGGTTGAACATGACTATCCTCATGCCTGACTTCACAGACTGCTTGGGTTTGAACCTCAGCTCTGCCATTTTCCGGTTACCGCACCTGAATAATTTATTTGATTTACCTGTGCTTCATTCTCCTTTTCTGTTAAAAGTGGAGCCTACCTTATAAGGCTGTTGGGGAAATTAAGCAAGTGAATACAGAGTAAGGACCTAAGAACATGTGTCTGACATAATAAATGCTCAATCAATGTTTGCAGTTGTGGTTATTCTTTTTAGATTAGCTACATTCAATACTCTACTAAATTCTGTGACCGAAACCACAAATGGCAGGTAGTCTAAGACGACTGATGCCATTCTTTATGACCCCCTCTCACCTCCTCTCCCCACAAGCTCCTCATCGCAGAAACTCCTTTTGTGGGCTTCCAACACTGTAGGAGCTGTGGGAATGGAGCGGTCCATTTCATTTAGGAAGCTTTCCTCTCCAAAAACATCATTCACACTGTCATATATACTGGTCACTTTCACTATTACATCTTTTTCCTCTGCTTTCAAGAAACCAGCTCAGCATGTTCTAGAACCTAAACTTACGTTTAAAACCTTGTTCATTTCATTGAAACGAAGATAAATACCGGCAACTGTTAACTTCCTCCGGAAGTCGGACTAGGAGGCCTCCACGAGTATACTATTTTTCTAGCTACTATTTACTGTGTTTAGGTGTACTTTACATACCCCATACCATTTAGTCCTCACGACAATCCTATGAGGTAAATACAACGACTGCCAGGAAACTGACGAGAGTCAAGTAACTGAACCTGAAGATATATCTGCGTTTAAAGGATGGAGAAAGGATTCTAACTCTCACAAGTCTAATTACAGGCACGATCAAATACTTTTAAAGAATCTAGGAAATAACTTGCCTTAACCCCCCTTTTATAGAAACTTCAGCCGCGACAGATGTGCGGCAACAGATGCGTGGGGACTAACGACTGGCAGCTGTTTCTAGCCGCCAGCAGAACTCCCCGCCTCGGTGGGTCCGGGGCTGAGAGCGGGGCTCGCGTCGCCTTCCCCGTGCGCGGCGGGGGCCCGGCAGGGACGCCCTCCTTCCCGCCCGGGCGCGCAGCGAGGCCGACTCACCTGCGTGGCCGCCAGCCGCGCCCGCACCTCCCGCATCAGGAAGGGCTCCAGACCGCGGCCCGCCGTGCAGAAGAAGCGGGCGCCCGCTGCAGGCCCGGAGCCTGCATCTCTCGGCACTGCCGCCATGGCGGCTCGGGCGCGGTCCCGCGGCTCGGGTCACGTGGCCTCGGGCGCGCGCGGCGCGTTCCCGCGCTCCCGGAGGTGGCGCGCAGGGCCCGGAGGGCGGGGTGGGGCCAAAGGCGGGCGCTGGCAGGGAGAGCCCGAGAGGGTAGGGTCGGTTCAGAGGGGTGGCTGTGGGTCTTGGCTAGCTACTTGGAACCTTCTTGATTTGGCGTCTGGAATTACTTAGAAAAATAGGTGGAAGGGATATAATTGGGATATATAAAAGGGATATAAGATATCATCTAATCCATCTGCGTTATTTTTCAGATTAAGGAAATTGATGCCTAGAGAGGCCAAGGGACAGCGAGTTAGTGGCACAGCTGAGGCAGGAACCGAGACTTATTAATTAATATCTAGTATAATGAACTTTCTTCCATTCCTCCCAACTCTCCCCTCTCCTTCATCCCTCCCCACTACTCTCCTCACATAAGGAGCCCCGTCTTCACCAAGAATTGGGCCCAAACTGGGAATCCCCAGGACCAAGAGCAGAAATTCCCACTATCCAACAAAACGTCTTTATGTGCGTGAAACAGGTTACAGTTCTTGGACTACTTAGTTAACCATCAGGATAATGAATGCGCCATCCAGTCTGGGCTCCTTGATTTGATTGTCTCAACAGTATTTGAAGGGATTTTGTTTTTAACTCTGAATTTTAAATTGGCAATGAAAAGATTACTTGAGAAAAATAGAATCCATATTACAAAATGAACAGTATTAAATTGTTCTATGGTTACATATTGAATCAGATATATAGAAACTATTAAATGAATCACTATCTCTCTGGCAAGTGCCTTCCATGTGCTTCACAATGTGATCCCAAGGTGGATAACAGGATACCCCCCACCTCTCCCCCTACCCCCTCCCCAGCTCATGGTCTACTGGGGCAGTATCATGAAAATTCTTATGGAGTCATGTAACACGAGCTTTTCAAAGGTTCGGTCCTAAGACTTCTTTTCAGATCCTTTCATTTTGGTAATTCTTTTCTGTTGTTTTCCTCCAGAGTTATGTTCTCATTCTCTTGGCAGTTGCCATAGCTCACTCCAACTTCTCTATACCTTGGAGTTCCTGACTCGCAAATCTATCTGGGGAGACCCAAGAAACCTCTAGTACTTCCCACATTCTGTACCCGAGATGGTAAGCAGGCAGACATAATGTGTCCTATTCAGTGCAACAAATACTGGACGCCTACTCTGTGCTAGACATCACACTAAGTCTCGAGGATACAAAGATGAGTGAGCAAGAGTCTGGACTTCAAGGCACTTAGAGGGTGGTGAGATGGATTTAGCAAGGATTGATTTACCCAGGATGCTGTGGAAGCACCAAGAGGCAGCAGGAAGAGCTTCCTGCAGAGAATCACTCCTGAGCCAAGTGTTGAAGAATGTATGAGTTAAATGACTCATTGGGAATGGGGGATGGGAGGACGGTTGTAGTAGTAGTGTAGTGTTTCGGGTAGAAGGAGCAGCAGATGCCAATGTGAGTGTGAGTGTGTGTGTATGTGGGGCGGGGGGGGGGACAGGAAGGCCACAACAGCGGTTGGGTGTTATTAGAGCATAAATTATATAAGTTGAGAAGCTGATAGAGATAAAGGTAAAGAGGTGGGTAGGGGCCGGGTTACGGCAGTGCTCCCCAAGGCAGATGAAGAAATGACCTCTCCAGCCTAGGGCTGGCCAGCAACGTGCTCTCCTGGACAGAACCACAGCTGAGCTGGGGCTGCAGTCCTGCAGAGCCAGTCTTCCCCTTAACGTTCCTCTCTGTTCCCTTCCTCTGTTGTCCTTCTCCCTCCGAGAGCCTTTGGTCAGCAAGGTCAGGGGCTTCTCTTGTTCCTGTTGGGGGTCAAGTGCATTTGCTCGCCTTTGGACCCTGCTGCAAGCACAGGACTTCCACCAATGCCTCTCACACAGTGCTTGAGGTGAGGTGAAATAAGTGGAGCTCTGCCTTTAAGGAGAAAATAATTCGTTTTCTGAGAGGAGAGTTGCCTGGAATTTTCTCCCCATTACTCAAATACTCTTTCCTCTGTCATTTCTGCTTCTCTTTAAAAAATGTCTCCATTAAAAAAGAACCACTGATCCCTAAAGATGTTTAGCATATCCAGCTGAGTTTTGCTGTTTGAATGTTGCATGTTCAACGTGTAGGAAGTTAGAAGTCAGCAGGAGCAATTTTGAACAGGTACACTTTTAAGTGGAGTGTTTTAGGAATGTAGGGCAAGATCGTTTGCTTCAAGATCTCTCCCTGTTTTGGTGCGATTGGCAATTCCTTTAGTTCTTAAAAGTATTAGATGTATATACTTAGATACTAAAATGCAAATACTTTAGATCGTGAGATCCTTGAGGATGAAATGACCCCACGGTCTGGGCACCCGCAGAGAGCACACTGGCTCGCGTGTGGTAGGCTCTCAGTAAATGTATGCTGAACTGGATGGAATGTAACTAAAGGGAAGGCCACTCACTAAAGAAGTCCCCGTCAGCTAGGAGGGAGTGCTATAACCCCCATATCAGCAGGGGCCTTTGTGAGTGAGATACAGGGATAAGAGTAGAGTACTGAGGCCAATGGAGGGCATTAAGGGGATAGGAGGACCCCAAAGATAAACTTCTTCAGAACTTTGCCTGCTACTTCCCCCCTTCCTCATCCCTCTGTCCTCCCCACACTATAAATAATGTTTCTTAACCCAGAATACTCAGAATTGCCTGGGGAGTCTTTATAATGTGTCGTGCTTGGCATCTCCCTCTCCCTTGCCTTCGGGTACAGTTGAGTGGGGTCAGTGAGGAACCATGGCCCCTTCTCCCCAGGAGATTTGGAACTATTACTATATACCAACTGATTCAACTGTTGACTTCTCCAAAATGCCCACTGCTTCCTTCCTCCCAGGGTTTTGCTTATACTGGAACCCTGTTCTCTTCCATTTCTTTTCTTTAAGGCTAAGCTAGAATGCCACATCTTCCATGATGCTCTCTCCTGCCTTTCCTGCACCCTTTTACTTACATAATATTTTATACCTTTATCATTTATTTATTCATTCGTAAATATTTTTTGAGTCCATGGCAATGTGTTAGTTAATATGACAAGGTCCTAGCCTTTGAGAAACTTGCAATTTAACGAGAGGTCATGGTGATAGTGCTGAATTGGTGAGAGAGACATATAAAGGATGGAAACACAATGTGATGTATGGGAAGGAAAGGAAAGCAACTGGGCCTGGCATATAGTAGGCACTTAATAAATAAGGTTGAATAAACCAACTTATTCTGAAGTCAAGTGAGCATTTGTCATGCTTTTGTTTCTCATCTTCCTTTGAGCATCTTTGCCAAGTGGAGCCATTCTCTGCCTTCTGAGGCCCACCTCCCCAGGGTAGATCACAGTTTGTAAGCACTCTAGAGTGTGGTGACCTCTTGCTCGTACAACCCGGAACAGTAACGTGTAAAGAGTAGGATTTTATAAATTTTTTAGAATTCAATGGAATTGTGGCACTGTGGTAAAACCACAGATACAGACACAGAAGTCTGTCAGATACACACATTCCAACCAAGTCAGTGCAGATTATGAAAGAAAGAATCAATGCATTTTTATGGCCGCAACTGCAAAAGCAATTTGGGAAAAAGCTGTTGGTCACATACTGATCATTTAAGCCACTTATATGCACACAGTAAGCACCCTGAATGATGCTGCTTTGAATATACAGTCAGAAAGAGAGAAAATTTAGCAGAAAATTATTGCATTGTGTACGTAAATACTGCCTTCAAAACGTTATTTATTCATTAGTGTTTATATCATTGTAGTTTTAATGTAGCATCAAAATTCAAAAGATGCGGTCTCTCTGCTTTGGTCTGGAGAGACAATTCTATTATGTGTATTATCTTGCTTTAGTTATGCAGTGTATGAAATTATTATTTTGATGTACAGAGTCTAGTATATCCATTGTTTTTTGGGGAAATGTGCCATGTATTTAATGCATATTTCAAAACACTAGGGTATTTGATGTGATTTTATTTGTTTAAATATACTTTGAACCCATAAAACTGTATTTATCCCTAATAGACTCTCATTATATCCCAGTTGGAAGAGAGTATGGAAATTATTTCTTCGATATATTTGCTGACTGAACGAATGACTGAATCAACAATTTTCTTCAATTTACTCGAATGAATTATATTCCCTAAATAAAAGAAAGCCATTTTCTTCTTGCAGTTATGTTCACCTCACTCAGACTGTTGTTTTAATATTCCTTTTCTCTTGTTGCATTTATGTGTATATTTACTATGAATTATTTTCCTTTAGAGGTTTGCCATTACCTATCTTTCCATTTCTTAGTCCAGGGAAAGCCCCAGAAATGTCTAAAACTAGCTAGGAGACCCATATTTCGATATTCCCCCCTTTAATTTTCCTGTAAGTCTTACTCCTTTCTAGTAGATGGTCATGTGGAAGGTGGTTACAAAATGGAGTCACACATGTCAAAGGCACCTAAAATGGAGCCGGGAGGCCATTAGGGAAGGTGGGCTTCTGCGTATCTCTACCCAGGTGGAATGTAACTTTTGAACTGTGCTTCACTGCTGTCATCCTGACCTTCTTCCAAGAAATGTGCTTACTCCCATAAGATAAGAACGTTCTTCCTTAGAGATGGCCTGAGCAACCAATCACATATAACCAAGAAGTAACAGTTGTTGCCGGTACCAGTCACAAATCTTGTAAAGCAACCTATGTAACTTTGCTGGAATTTATCTGGTTTTGCCTTTGTAAACCCTTGCGTCTTTTGTTCTCATTGGAGCACATTTGAGTTTCTACTCGAGCCTGTGTCTTCTGAATTGCAATTCCTAAGACCCCAAGTAAACATTTTTTATTCTCTTACGTTTTATAACTCTTATTCACTGACAGTTAATTATTTTGCCTGTTTTATCAGTGGAAATTGAAATAAATCACCTTAAAACTCCAGCAGATGTGATCTGAAAATAAACAAAACCACCCAAGGAACAGATCTTATTTTCTTAGAA